AAATTGAGTCTATCACCACCAAATAGAGTTTATCTCAGGAAGGCAAGAATAATCCAACACCAGAAAATATAAAAGTAGGTCACCACATTAACAGGCTAAGGAAAGATATACTAAATATATCATATGTTGATATACTAAATCTCAACATATGAAGAAAAGCATTTGATAAAACTCAACAATCATAACTTTTTTAAAAAACTCTTAGCAAAATGGAAATAGGAGGAAACAACTTTATGTAGCTAGCTACCTGCCAACATTTCAGTCCCCCGAAAAAAAACAGTAAAATACCAGAAACATCCCCTTTAAAGGCAAGAACAGGATAAAAGTGACTGCCATTTATACAAAAAGTCGTAGCCAACTCAGTAAAATCGGAAAACAGTAGAAATAGTATAAGAAAAATGAACTATGTATCAACCCAAGTATTCTAAAATAATCTATAGACAAAATATTACACTCTAAGAGAGTTCGGCAAGGCTGTGTAATAAAAAAAAAGTCAGTATATAAAACTCCGTTAGAGTGTCTACAGTACAGCAACAAATATAATCTAAAAATTAAGTTTTGCCCTGGCTGATATAGTTCAGTGGATTGAGCACCAGCCTGAGATCCAAAGGGTGGCCGGTTCAATCCCCAGTCAGGGCACATGCCTGGTTGCTGGCCAGGTCCCCCGGTCGTGTGCATGTAAGAGGCAACCACACACTGATGTTTCCCCTCCCTCCCTTTCTCCGTTCCTTCCCCTTTGTCTAAAACAAATAAATAAAACCTTTAAAAAAACAAAATAAAAATTAAGTTTTATTTAAAAATTCTATTCATAATAGCTTCTAAATCACAATATACAGAAATAAATCCAACCAAAGATAAAATGCATTTTTATAGGAAATGTTTGAAGCTTTAGGAAAATAAAACATGTACTAATAAAAAGAAACTGAGGTACTTAGACATAAATGAAGTGATATAAAATATTTATGAGTGGGAAGAATAAATACATATAAATAAGAATATCTATATATAGTCATTTCTACCTCAAATAATTTATAAAATCACTGCAATTCTTAACAAAACATAGAACTCAACAAGCTGATCCTAAAATTTAGATGAAAGAGAGATAAAATGAGATCATGGGGTAGCCAAAATCATTTTAAAGTAAATAAAAACAGGGATGGGGGAAGCACCCTACCACATAACAAGACATTTTGTATCACCCCAGCTGGTGTGGCTCAGTGGACTGAGTGCCGGCCAGCAAACCAAAGGGTCACCAGTTCAATTCCCAATCAGTGCACGTGCCTGGGTTGCAGGACGAGGCCCCATTCGGGGACTGGCTGTGCAAATGGCAACCACGCATTGATGTTTCTCTCCCTCTCTCTTCCCCTCTGTCTAAAAATAATCTACCAAACCAACAGAACAATATTTCAACCAGAACAGACCCAAATACAGAAAATGTGATCAACCCAGTGGAATGCAGCAGAATTCAGCATGTGGTAGCGGTGGTATCACAAACAGTGGGTATGAGAACACTTGGTTAGTACTTTAAGACAAAAAAAAAATGAAAGTACGAATAATACAATGGCAATATATACAGATCTGTCAATGGTTGCTCCAAACCAAATGGCTGCTCCAAACAATGAAGCCCTGCCGTCTGCAATGGCACGGACGGGCGTGAGGGCGCTGTGCTGACCCAGTGAGATGGTCAGGCGGAGGGGACGCCCTGGCATCACCTCCGTGTGGACTCCAGAAAACCCAACAAACACGCAGAACGGAAACAGACTCACACAGAGGACATGAGGATAGACAGGAGGAGGAGCAGGAGAGACGGGTAAAAAAGGTGAGGGATTAAGAGGTACAAATTGGTAGTTACAAAACAGTTATAGGGATGTAAAGTACAGCATAGGTAATACAGTCAATAATATGGTATAAGTAAATAAAATGATGCAAAATTAATAACCAAAAGATCCATCAATGTATAAATACAGTATAGAAATATACTGGCATACTCGAAAACATTCTTGAAATGAAGGAATGTTAAGTCTCAAAACTATGTTAAGACGGAAATAAAAGCAGCAAAAATGTATACGTTTTATACTTTTTAAACATCCCCAAAAATACTTCTTATGTTTTTACAGGCATATGCATCTGTACTAAAAAGTGCTTTTAAGTACATGGGGATGGCACACAGGTGGTCTTTTTCTCAGGAGAGGAAGTGTGGGAAAGAATACGTGTGGACTGGCTGGGGGAGGGCGGCGATTTAACAACATCTGTTCTCTTTAATCTCTTTAAACAAAACCTGCAGCAAACATAACAAATGTTACCATTTGTTTAAAGTAGGTGCAGGGTACAAAGGTGTTTATTACATTTTTCTGTCCTTTCAGTGCACTGAAAATGTTTCATAATTTAAACACTGTACACAAAAAAGGTGCAGCAATATGCATGATATGCCTGGTTTAAAATAAGGAGAGGCTAGAAGAGGAAATGTTTGTTTACAATGGAAAATACTGAAAATAGAATTAGTTAAAAACATTGCAAAACAGTCATATAATGAAATGTCATATAACCACAAAAATTATAATTCAGAAACATGGTTATTAACCTGAAAAGATGCTGGCAACACATTATGTGGGGGGAGGAAAGGCTACAAAATAATAGCTTTTCAACTAAAGCATTAAATGGTTAGACAAATCTCCTCCTATCTGCACTAAACAGGCCAAAGTTCCATTAATGCACCTGCCCTATTTAATCTCTTCTCAACCTGCACCCATGGAAAGAAGCCTAATGATAGTAAAACAAGCAGCCTAATAATAGTGAAAAGAACAACAGATTAATTCTAGTGTTTTGAATAAGAAAGATATTGTTGCAATATTGACATGGAACTGCTGCATTCGAAGCCAAAGACGATTATTTCCCAGTGCTGGCCCCAACACCGCCCACCTTTCTGCACGAGTCCTGGCTGTGGAACCAGCCAGGAAGAAAGCTGGCGAAGCCGGCAGAGTAGCGTAAGTTGCTACCCACATATACCAGAGAGCCGGGCGAACTATAATAAACTGTATGTAAAATAACTGTCAGGTGTCCACGAAACCCAGAGGTGTGCTCGCAAAGCGATGTCGTGTTTATGAGAGAAGGGAAGGGCAGCAGGACATCACTGAGGGAATCCTGAGAGAACAGGACGTTCTGTCCTGTTGCTACATTTACGCCCTCCAATAAACTGGAAACTGACTCGGGTCCTCTACAACTGTGCTCCATTATTCTGTTCGTTAAAGTTGTCCAAAACACCTAAGAAGTATAATACCATGTTGTACGCAAACTTCAATAGCATCCTAAAGAAAAACGGTCTCTTCTACTCACGACACTTTGACACTAAACGTGTGGGGGTCTTCCCACACGAACCGGCTGTCCAGCTCTCCAGGTATCACCTGGAGTGCCCCAATTCAGTTGTGACCCCGACTACCTGGCGTTAGTGCGAACCCCACAGATCAAGGCTCAGTCCCCCTTAACCTGCTGCCCACTTCAAACGACAACTCAAAGTCCCCATGTTATTCATACTTCTAGGCAACTCGGCTGCAAATCAGGTTCCCATGACCCCTTTCCTCCATTTGATAACTTTCGATAACAGCTCGTAGAACTCAGGGTACCACTAAACTTACATTTGTAAGTTTATTGTAATGGATATTAGAAAGATACAGATGAAAAGCCAGATGAAGAGGTGCATAAACTGAGGCCCAGAAGGGCCCTGGTGCAGGAGCCTCTGTCTCCAGGAAGGCTCCCTCCTGGCACGTGGGTGGGTCCCCAGCCTGGAAGCTCCCTGAACACCACAGTTTAGGAATTTTTATGGAGGTCCCCTCATGTAGGCATGACTGATTAGCAAGTCAATCTGCAGGCCCTCTCCCCTCCCTGGAGAAAGGCTCGGTTCTAACCCTCTAGTCATAACTGGGTTCCTCTGGCAGCCAGCCCCCATCCTGAAGCTATCTAGGGGTCCGCCTAGAGTCTCCTCATTAGCATGCAAAAAGACACTCTTACTAATTCCAGAGATTCTGGGCTGTTAGAAGCTCTTATGTCAGGAACTGAGAACTAAGACCAAGTATTACAATAAAAAACGTGGTGACAGCACCTATCAACCCCAGTCGTAACAGTGAAAAGCTACTTCTCTCTGATGGCCTGCAGGCTAATAGTTCCTGGTATAAACATGCTAACCAACTAGAGAAGTTCTGCTTGAGGCTTGAGCAGCACCCTAGTCCACATAGAAGTGCAAAGTAATGACTGTTTATTAGAGATTCACAGGAGTCTCCATAACTGGAGACTGGCCAATGGGAGACTGATCCATAACTGGATCAGCAGGGGTCAACAGGCCAACAGGAACAAAGGGAATGAGAAATTTCCTATCTTCTTGGGATCCCTTACCATGCCTATCTGTCTACAGCGGCATCCACTCCTTGCCTTGCCCCTCCTCTCTTCCCTTAACAATAAAAGATGACCAAATCCATTCTCTTAAGACGGATTTGAGAATTAGTTCTCCCATCTCCTTGAGCTACACCTTCTTAATCAATAAACCATTTCTTACTCCAAAGCTCTGATCTATTGATCAAACCTTTCCCTACTGGCCTCTCTTTTGAAGCATCAGGCATACACAATATATATCTTATTACATCGTAATATGACATGTACAATAAAGGGTAGGAAGGTAGAACTCTTAGGGGAAAATATTTTCATTGTTATTCCTTGATTGTGAAAATATCTCTTGTGGCCCTGACCGGTGTGGCTCAGCTGGTTGGGTGTCACCCCAAAAAGCAAAAGGTCACTGGTTCGAGTAGCAGACAGGGCACGTGCCTGGGTTGCGGGCCAGCCCCAGTCAGGGCCTCTGCAAGAGGCAACCGACCAATGTTTCTCTCTCACATTAATGCTTCTCGCCCTCTCCTTCTCCCTCCCTTCCCCTCTCTCTAAAAATAGATAGGTAAAATCTTTTAAAAGATCCTTGTATTCTTTACGCCTTCATGAAATACCTTTGAGACTACTGAGACCAACAAATATGAACCGCATTTATTGTGAAACATTAAGAACAGCTGAGGCTGTATAATGATAGTTGGATATAAGATGTGCTGAATTTCAGCTTCTAGAAGAGGTGATTTTGAACTCAGTCACCCTTTGAGAGAAGACATACCAGCCCGCATGATTTCGTCGACCAGGAGGATGTTCGCGGCAATCACCGTGCTGAAGGAGAAGAGGACAGGGTGAGTGAAGCCTGCCCGCTCGCTCTCGTCTCCTCCCCACGGCGATCTCCAGCTCCCACGGGTACTTCGTTCTTCAGTGATGTTGTGAGGTTTTATGAGACACGTATTTTAAGTGCAAACAACACCTTTGTATTATCATTTCTTTTGCTGATAAAGTGGAGGCCTGATTGTATTTTCCAGCAAAACTGACCTCGTTTTTAGCACATCATTTGATTTTTCCCACTATGCATGTGGTACTATTTCAGTACAGCCCTTTCTTTCCCTTCCCCTCAAATAAACAGAAAGAGTAACATTTCCTAAAGCTTATACTCCTAGAATTAAAACATTAAAGAGACTGTAAAATGACAGAAGCCGGTTGTAGTAACTCAATACTAGCCCTGGCTGGTGTAGCTCAGTGAATTGAGCACAGGCCTGCGAACCAGACAACCGCAGCTCCATTCCCAGTCAGGGCACATGCCTGGGTTGCAGGCCAGTTCCCAGCAGGGGACACATGAGAGGCAACCACACATTGATATTTCTCTCCCCCTCTCCTTCCCTTCCCCTCTGAAGATAAATAAATAAAATCTTTTTAAAAAACCCTCAATACCATGCCTTTTCCCACATTTAACCATTTTTCCACTCTAAGGTGGCAAAAACAATAGAAAAAATTTTTCCCAAAAGTCTTTCTCTTTTATTAATGCAAACTTACCAAGAGTGAAGTAGTTGTTTTTTCACACAATAATTATCCCAAACTCCTGCATCTGCGGCTACCATTGGCTCACCTACAAAGTAAAAAACAAACTACTTTAATACTACGTGTTGATATATTGTTAATATTTGTTGTATATTCAAACAATAGCTAATATACCACCAAAACCACCATCATCATGGTCACCACCGACCTCCGTTCTGTCAAACCCAATGGGCGACTCTCAGGCCTCATCTGTCTGCAGCACTTAACAGTCGATCACGGCCTCCCAACTATTCTTCCTCCACTCATCTTCCGGGACCGCGCACTCGCCTGGCTTCTTCTCCATCTGCTTTGCTGGTCCTTCCTCCTCCCTGCTGAGTTCTTCCCACTGCAGTACCTAACTGCTCAGTCCTGGACTCCTCCCTCTACTCTCAGTATAGGTGACCCCAGCCAATCTCTCGACCTAAACCATCTACACCCTGATGGCTCTCAGGTTTTGATCTCCCATCCAGAGCTCCTTCTTGAGCTCCAGACTCAGATGTCTGTCTACTTTACTTGGAAGTCTGCAGATACTTCACATGTACTCTGCCCAAGCTCAGTGCTGATGACCAACCCCCACTAAAACGTGCTTGCCCACAGTCTTCTCCGACGGCAATTCCAACCTTCCAGTTGCTCAGCTAACTCCTCCGCACAGAGTAGCTGGTGATCCTTTAATTAGTCCATGTCACCCTCCTCTTGGAATTGCCCCCTCTCCTCCACGGTAAAGCCAAAGCCCTCAGACTGGCCCACACGCCGGTACGGTCTGACCTTCTGCTACCTCCCTCACCTCCTTCCTCCTGCTCAGAATTATCGGACAGTGACTTTCCCACGGGGTCATTCCCTCTCCCTAGCATCTTCCCACGATTGCCCCAGGTGGCTAACTCCCCCCAACTTCCTTTTTCAATAGGCATGTTCGCAGTCATCATTCCCAGTAGCCTGCCCTGACCGTCCTCTTTAAACTGGAACCTCTTCCCCACCCCCTGAGCTAGCATTCACAATCACCCTTACACTGTTATTTTACATTTAAGAGAGTGCATTGCTTCTAAAAATGCTAACAAACTTATTTATTAAGGTTATTCTTTATTGCCCATCTCCCCTACTACAACATGAGCTCTCAAGGGCAGTGATTTCTGCTGTTTTGTTCTGTGTGAATCCCGAGAGTCAAACGACAAGTGCTCAGTGACTACTTCTTAAATGAACAAACATTTAGCAAAAGTAAACTAAAAGGCACACAAATTTTAAATATCAAAATCCAAAGTCCCCACCCAATTCCTGTAAGTTCTGGGTCACTATACTATACCTTTTTCTTTATTAAGCAGCTAATTTGTCTTCCCTTTCCTACCTGTATTCAAGTTGATGCCAATGGGTTGTTTTGATTCCAAATGCTCAGACTGAATTTTCACTAGTGTTTCCTGCAGGTCATAACCAGAATTCTGAGCAAGAACCTTCAGAAATGAAAAGAACAATAAATATATATGTAGAATACCTTCACGTGCATCTGAATACCAAATATAAAAAAGGCACTGCTTTCTAGTCTTGTGAAAACACATTCATTATATACTAATCATCTCCTTTTGAAGAATTTCATTCTTAATCTAAAATTATTATTTTCTATACTAGCATTTTTACATTTACTTAAATACTTTCCCTATGTATATCACGTAAATCCTGAAGGGGGCATTAGAGATCCCCCATGTCCACCCCATTAAATTAATTTCCTTCCCTCCTTGCAAAAGATTTTAAAAACAAAAAACATTGCCCTGGCTGGTGTAGCTCAGTGGATTGAGCGTGGGCCTGCGAACCAGATAATCACGGTTCGATTCCCAGTCAGGGCACATGCCCAGGTTGCAGGCAGGTTCCCTGCAGGCCAGTTCCCAGCAGGGGACGCACAAACGCAACCATACATTGATGTTTCTCTCCCTCTCTCCTTCCCTTCTCCTCTAAAGATAAGTAAATAAAATCTTTAAAAAAAAAAAGAGTTACTTGGTTTTCAAGTCCTGGCTGGTGTAGCTCAGTGGATTGAGCGCGGGCCTGCGAACCAGACAATCGAGGTTCGATTCCCAGTCAGGGCACATGCCAGGGTTGCAGGCAGGTTCCCTGCAGGCCAGTTCCCAGCAGGGGACGCACGAAAGGCAACCATACATTGATGTTTCTCTCCCTCTCTCCTTCCCTTCCCCTCTAAAGATAAATAAATAAAATCTTTAAAAAAAAAAAAACATGAAAGAAAGTAGAATAGTATTCTTGTTTCTTCTAGTCCCTCTAGCCACATGTCTTCAATTTTTTTCTGGGCACTTGCAAAAGGAAAAAAATATTTGCAGCATCTTTGTGCCCTTCATCAACATGAGGAGAGTCACAACCTGTGATGACAGGGACAGAGATACCTGCGCTCTGAACCAGGTTTAACCTGCTCTCCAAACCAGGTTGAACCTGCTCTCTGAACCAGGTTGAACCTGCACTTCACACCGGGTTCAACCTGCTCTCTGAACCAGGTTTAACTTGCACTTCACATCAGGTTCAACCTGAGCTCCGAACCAGGTTTATTTGCATGTGGTCCCAAACCAACCACTGATGAATAAAAAGGTGTGACCAATGCATACTAGGTTTACCAGTTTGTGTCAACTCTAAGATCACTACTTATCAACTTTGCTGCTTTAAGGAAAGGAAAAAAACAGATTTCTGAATCAGAAAAATTCTACAAATCATGAATAATTTTAAAGTAATTATCAAAGAGAGTTTGATAAGTAATTATCAAAGAGACTAGCATTACTAGTAATGTTTTAATTCATGGTTAATAGCATATTTGAAACAGTTTTTCTGAATTTCTAAGTGGTTCACAACCAGATTAAGGCAAAGGAAAAGAAATGGTAGTTCTCTGTCCTTCTGCTGATATATGAAAAAACTCTGGTTGCTCTTCTTTCCTAGGAATTACAGTGATAATGAAATGCAAGCTAGTCTTTAGGAGTGTTAAACAGCCTGAAGTTCTCGCTTTGCACCATTTAAAGTAATAATACTTTGGATACCAGCAACAAAATAAAGGTCTACATCAAAATCTAATTAAATCTTAAATTCTAAAATTTTTCATTATAATTAGTTAATCAAGAAGCATGTTTAAAGAAAACTTTTGGAGTGACTTCAACTTTGGAATTCAGAGACTAAAGCGAGGAGGTAATTTGGCTATTTCATTACACTGCTACAAGGGTTCTCAGCTGTTAGTCCCAAAGTTTCCCTGCTTTAGCTGTAAAATATCTTAGACAAAACTACATGAGGAAATGCAAATAAAAATCTGTCTTCTACTGTGTTAACTGCTAGACAGTATGATCAATTTATAATTAAACACCTTATGTCTAACCAGCTGTTCTTGGGCCATTGGGTTAGTTGTACCTTAGGAATAATGAGTAAGGCATCAGCGAAAGCTTGGACTCCGAGACGAGCTCTTCCTCTCACACTGTGCTTGTACGCACTGAGGGCTTCAGCTATGGCCACTTCGACTGCACCCGCTCCTGGAAGCACACAACCTAGTGGAGGGGGAAAATGATGGGCAAAATACGCCACACAGAAAAACCAGAGAAAAGTGCAGCTAGCTATTCGAGTGTGTTTTATTATCTTGTCTACATCTAAAATATATTTAAATGTATACAGAAGTAAAATAAGTTGCACAGCTCAGTGATTACTCAGATGTCTTATGAAGCATCCTGAAGTTATACAGCATTAAATAATTGAGCATGGTACAGACTGGCTACAAATAGCTGATTTCATTGTTTATCCACCGGCAAATAAAATTAGACATTTCTTCTACCTTCACCACACTCCTTTATGAGTACATTTAAAGTATAGTTATTTATAACTTACAGTGGCAGGTAACTAAATGTAATATCTAACTTGGAAATTGAGGGGGGCAAGATAATTAGACCACAGTTTTTGGTAGGCAATTTGTTCTTCATAGGCAATTCTTTGGAAGTATTTGGAATCCAAATACTTCATTTGGATTCAATGAAGTATTTGTTCTCTGTACTGCAGCAGAACTCAAACTGCTCCCTGGGGAGGGGGGAGAGAAAAAACTAGCTGTTCTTATTATCCTAAGGCAAAAGCTCTAGTTAAACACATTTTCGTATCAGGATATGACATTTATACCTGCTTGTACGACTTTATAAAGTTCATGACCCTTTACAAAAACTTGCTTTGGAATCCCCCATCTTTAACACAAAACAGCACGCACGCGCGCACGCACACACACACACACACACACACACACACACATCTCCCCTTCACCCCACACCATCCCCTTTCTCTGCTCAAAAGAGTTGTCTGTGCAGCGGCCACTACATCCTCGCTCTGACACTTTTTAAAAGGTCCTTATTAAGCATTAAATACACACAAAAATATTTATATGTATAAGGTATAAAGAATAAATGTCCAAATGAATGTACCCATCTACCTTCCACCCAGCTTCAGAACTAGGACATCGCCCCTGACTTTGAAAGCTTTCCTGATCCCATTCTCCTGTGGGAACGCAACACGCCCACGTCTGGGGGATGCTGCTGAAGCAGCCCCCGAGGAGGAAGTCTTACCACTGAACACCTACGTTAGCAAGTAAGAAGGGTCTCAAATCAATGGCCTCGGCTTCTACCTTACCAACCAAGAAAAAGAAGGGCAAATTAAACCTAATATACAGAAAGCAGTAAAGATCAGCGTGGAAATCAATGACATAAAAATGACCAATGTCAGAAATGAAAAAGGTAATCTCACTACAGGTTCTACAGGTGTTATAAGAATAATAAGGGAATATTATGGGCAACTTTATGTCATTACACTTGAAAACCTACCTCAGGGATTGGCAAAGTTTCTATATGTTAACAACTAACAATCAGAAATTGAAATTTTATAAATACTATGTACAATAGAACAAAAGAAATCATGCTATAGGCTAAATCTGAAAAAAAGATGTGTAAGACTCATATACTAAAAATTATAAAATACCACTGAGATAGGTTCGAGAAGGCCCACATAAATACAGATATACCATGACTCAGCACTGTTAAGGTATCAGTTATTCCCAAACCGATCTACGGGTTCAATGAAAATCCAATCAAAATCTTAGCAGTCTTTCTGGTAGAAACTGGCAAGCTGATTCTAGAATTCCTATGAAAATGCAAAAGATTTAAAATAACCAAAATAACTTGAAAAAAATAAAATTGAAGGATTAACATTACTGGTTTCAAAACTTAAAAAGTTACAGTAATCAAGACAGTATGATGTTAACACTGAGAAAGACAAACATCAATGGAACAGTGAAGAACTCAGAAAAAACCCACACAATACGGACAGCTGATTTTCAACAAAGACGCAGAGGCAGCTCAGTGGGTGAAACAACAGTCTCTTTAATGAATGGAGCCCTGGCTGGTGTGGCTCAGTGGACTTGAGTGCCGAACCAAATGCTCACCCGTTCGATTCCCAGTCAGGGCACATGCCTGGGTTGTGGGCCAGGTCCCCACTAGGGGGTACGCAAGAGGCAACCACACATTGATGTTTCTTTCCCTCTTTCTCCCTCCCTTCCCTCTCTCTAAAAATAAATAAATAAATCTTTAAAAATATTTATTAAAAATTAAGTGTTTGAAGGCATTTTTTTAAATTAGCCAATTTATTTTTTTTGTGCAAATTCTAAGAATCAGGTAAACTACCAAAGGCTACATGCCTAAATCATGTATATTGATCTTGTTGTAAAAATACTGCTAGCTTTTTAAAAAATGACTACAAAAAAAAGGCAGTGACCCTTATAGCAAACCCATATTTTTTCAACAAAGGAACTGATGTGTTTTCCCCTTTTCAATAATGAAACCTACATAACTGATCATATCCTTTTATATTCTACCAGCTTAAATATTTATAGTGACTATTATATTTGCTATACAATATTTAAATTGTTTTTTCCTAGGTTCTAATTTTCCATTTCAGCTTTCATTTTACCATTATTTCACATCTATCTTTTTACTTATCAAATAAATCTGGCCTCCTGTTCATAACGTTTACTACTCTATTTTTTTGAGATATAATTCACATACAATAAAATCCAGCCTTTTAAAGTTACAGTTTACAGTAGCTTTTAGTATATTCCTATGGTTGTGCAACCATCACCCCTAATTCCAAAACACTTAAAAAAAAACCACTCTGTACCCACGAGCACTCGTTCCCTACTTCCCCCTTCCCCGGCCCTGGCAACCACTAACCGACCTTTTGTCCACATGGCTCTGCCTCTCCTGGATATTTCATAGAAATGAAGTCACACAATACACAGCCTTTTGTGTCTAGACTCTTAGCATAATGTTTTCAAAGTCATCGTGCTGTACCATATATCAGTATTCATTCCTTTTTGTGGTTGAATAATACTCCACTGTATGGACATACCACCCTTCGTTCATCCGTTCATCAGTTAACGGATACTTGGATTGATTCCACTATTTGGTTACAATGAATAGTGCTATTGTGAATGTTAGTGTACAGGTTCTTTGTGTGGACATACGTTTCCAACTCTCTTGTGTACACTTGAGAGCTGGTCTGCTGGGTCACACAGTAAATCTGTGTTTAACTTGTTGAGGAACTGCCTGTTTTCCAACGGTTCCCACCAGCAACTGTATACAGGGTTCAGCAGAAGTAACACCTGCCTGAGTGTGGTTTGTAGGGCAATGATATGAGTGCAATAATTTACAGTTTTAATTTGAAAACTTCACTGAAAATGTCATATGGTTTGCTTGGGTGTAATATTGTTATGTTACAGAATTACATACTTAAGAGTTTGTAATAAAAAGGGGGCGTTATTTGTGCGGGACTCTGTATATGAGGATTCCAACATTCATATAGTCCAGCTCTCTGACGACAGCCATCCTAATGTGAAATGGTATCTCTTTATGGTTTTAATCTTCATTTCCCTAATGACTAATGATATTGAGCATCTTTTCATGTGCTTATTATTCTACTTTAAACATGTGTGCTTTATTGAATTATCTATCCTAACTCCTTTCAGAAGGAAGCAGTTTATAAATTATAAGTAAACAATAAATGTTGATATTCTTCCCCAATCTTTTTTTAGCTTTGACAACTACAGTTTACATTCAGTATTATTTTATATTAGCACAGCAGTTAGACATTGCAACTGAGGGACTAAGTTCTAAGCAGTAAAAGCTTTTCCATGGTTTTAAAAATAAAAATTGATACTATAGCATTAAATTGAGTGCTTTTTCACTTTATAAACAGAAGATAATTTAAAAAACAGCATACTGTTAAGACTATCCCAAAGGGAAAAACCTTCACAATCCAAACTATAAATTGTCCAAAGTGAGATGAGAGAATACTCATCATTAACACCTTTGAAAGTAGTATACATACCGTAAGAGATTTATTACCACTTAAAAACTATGGAAGGTTCGTATCCATCACAGCAGAGAACCTACCGTCCTCGATGGCGTTTTTGACGGCACGAAGCCCATCCCTCACAGCGTCTTTGATCTGTGTCAGAGTGTGCTTGTTTGGTCCCTTAACCAACAAGGTGACAGAGCGAGGGTTGACACAGTCCTCAATAAAAGTGAACTTCTCTTCACCCTAAAGGATAATCCAAGAATACACGACTTTAATATGTCATTAGGCGGTCAAGACCTTTAGTTTATAATATTAGAATCCAATCTTCACGTGGATTTTTTTTCTTGTCAAACATAACTAAATACACGTTAAGAGCAGTTAAGTCATATTTAAACTCTTACCAAACATTTGGGTAAACAAACTGTAAAATCTATCCTGTGGATTATTCAGACCTCAGAATGTACAACCTAAATTAAAAGGTTGAGTATTTAAACATGTTTTACTGCTCACTTTATAACCACTGCCCCAGAAATACTCACTAATGCGTGTTCATACACAAGCCCAGCGTGGCCCAAGCAATCTATGCTCAGGTCTTCCAGGGAATTCACAGCTATCCCACCGCAGGCAAGAGAGAGTCTGAAATTGCGGAGATATCAACATAGCTTTGGTTACCGAAAACACAAAGACAAATCTCTTAAAGGTGGAAAAATACCTAGCACGGAAGACTACATTGTCACTGGATTATATTGCTTTTAAAATCTGTTTTAAAAAGATGAAAACCTTCCTTGTATTTCAAGAGAGGTCTGAGGTAGGTTAATCTTGATATTTAACAGTTTCACTATTCACTGAAATTAAAAACAAAATTTGAAATTTGTACGCTACTATTTTGCTCAACAATGTTTACATATGAGCTGAAAGGAATACATATGGGATAATTTCCATTTACTGTTAATAAACTTAGGACTCCTAATTACCTGCAAGCTTACCTTTCCATATTCCTTCGTTTTGCTCTGCGAAGAGCTACTATGCCGTGTCGTGCAAGCGTATCCAAGGAAAACGGATCGATCCCCTACGATCAAATTAATGCAAACATTACAAGCATGTTTCAAGCCAGCAGTTCTAAGACTTTTTGATCTCAGCACTGCTTCACACACTTAAAAATCAAAGAGGCCAAAGAGCTTTTGTTTATATGAGCTATATCTATATTTGTCATATTATAAATTAAAATGGAAGAGTTTAACATTTATCAATCCATTTAATATAGTAAGAAATACATTTATGTTAACATAAATAACACTTTTAAATGAAAATTTGCAGTAGTTTCCTAAACAAAAAATACAGTGAGAGTAGTGGCACTGTTTTACATTTTCGAATCTTTTTAATATCTGTCTGAAGAGAAGACAGCATGAGTCTCCTATCTGCTTCTGCATTCGATTTGGTGAAATATGTTGTTTTGGCTAAAGTTTAAGAAGAAAACCTGGCCTCACAGAAACATGTACTAGAAAAGAGAGGAATATTTTAAAAGCCTTTTCAGATGAATGCAGATATTCTTCTCTGATAGGAAAATTCAACAAGTGGTTAGTTTCAATGTGGACTATGGAACCGTATCAATAACCTTTCCACACTCTCTCACGTTAAAATCCATTTGTCCACCTTGCACTTTGAATTATTTACTTGTGCATATTTTGTAAAATCATGCATTTTTTAAGGCCTTTAGAAAATAATGGTTCACTAAGTTAGGCAGAGCTTCCAAATGTTGACACATTTTATAGTTATACAATATAAAAAATATCACCTTTGCTAATATCACTACTAATAACACGAGAAAAATCTTGTAAATATTGGAAAGCTAGCAAACTCACAGTGGCAGATACGAGTTTTCCAAAATTCTAATTTTGTTTGAAGGCTTCAATGCTATCATTGGCAACAAATACTGTCAGTTGTTTGCCTTGAAGTGACAAGACGATGTACTCATTTTTGAGAAAAACCTACCAAGCACCCACGTATAAACAGTTTGTCTGTCGGTCACTCAAGTAAAAACGGCACTGCGTGAAAGAAGCAGCCAGTGTAGCTTAAAGCTCCACCACACAAGAGCTTCCTTCAAGACGAACTTTGACGCACCGCACGTGCACACTTCACATTTTATCACACGGAATCATTTAAGGGCCAAAACTTAATAAAAGTAATACGTTTCACCACTGCGTGAACACCTCCTTAAAGGAACCTGCCTTTCCCCTTTCAACGGCCAGTGTGGGCCCGAGTGACAATCAAGAGCACGAGGCCACCAGTACAGTTCGGTGCGACTGCTTCCACCTGTGCCGGGCACCAGCCAGTCTGCCCGCCACTGCTCCTGCATCGTCAGTGCAAATGTCAACACAATGAAAAGGCGTTATTGTTAATACTATGAAAATAGTTTTGACCTCATAAACTCCCGGAAATGGTCTTAAGGACTCCTGGGGGCCCATAGACCATACTCTGAAAAACAATGAAGAGCACTGGCTGCTGTGGCTCAGTGGATTGGGCGCTGACCTGCAAACTAAAAGACTGCTGGTTCAATTCCCAGTCTGGGCACATGCCTGGGTTGTGGGCCAGGTCCCCACTAGGGGGCACGCAAGAGACAACCACACATTGATGCTTCTCTTCCTCCCTTTCCCTTTGTCTAAAAATTAACAAATAAAATATTTTTTTAAAAAATGAAGAACCATTTACAAATAGTTAAAAATCTAAATTTTTTTTCTCACCTTTTGATTAATGACAACAAATCCTCTGTTGGACTGAGTACAGACTTTGCCTTTCAGGTCTATTATCTTTTGTACTTTATCATCAATAAATTTTCTTTCAGCTCTTACCAAGGTCTCTTTTTCTTCTGCAGTCTTATAAAAGAAACCAGAGCTTACCTCTCTAAAAGATGAATAAAAACAAGCTAGTAAAGGTAGTGAGAGGAACAGGAAAAGTTAGATGTTTATACTGAACATTTGGGAGGAAAGAAAAAACTTTAAAACACTTTTAGAAAAAAACAATTCCAAAAGTTATAAAGAGTAGCCCTGGCTGGTGTAGCTCAGTGGACTGAATACTGGGCTGGCAACCAAAGGGTCACCGGTTCGATTACCAGTCAGGGCACATGCCTGGGTTGCAGGCCAGGTTCCCAGGAAGGGACGTATGAAAGGCACCCACACACTGATGTTTCTCTCCCTCTCTCACTCCCTTCCCCTCTATAAAAATGAATAAAATCTTAAAAAAACAACAAAACAAAAGCTATAAAGAGTAAATGACCTACATACGTTTTTTCATATTCTAGTGATACATTGCAAGTAAGGATAAATGCATCTTCTACTCGCTTCTTCATTTCTGGATGACGGGCACCATGATCCAAAACTAATCCTCTTATCAACCTATTAAAAACATTTAATGTTTCTTTCTTTGAATATACATTCTAAAATTTGGTATAAAATTAGAATTACACTCTGTAAAGTTGCAACAGAACTGCCAGGGCACATACTGTTTCCTTGCCCCAACTTTAATCCTAACACATAATTAGTGAAATTAGAAATGATAACTTGCTCTAACACACTGTGACTGTTCAGTCTCAGTGAAATCAACCCAGAATTATCCTCTAAATTATGTGCTCAAACAAATGACACAGCTGATCGAGTAATGAAAGGTAGGCACACAATGAGTTTCTTAGGAACATTTGTTCAAAATAATTATGTGAAACAACTAAAATGTTAAGCTAAATGTCCAACAATAAAGCATTGTTCAGCAAATAATGGCCCAGCTCTTTCACAGTCGTGAACACTTCGTAATAGCACAGAAAAATATTTACAGGGGTAGCAGATAAGCAGTCGATGACAAACTGCACATAAAACATGGTAATAACTATCCTTTAAAAACAAGACAAGCACCTTTAGCCACCCTTCCCAGGTGCCTAAAGTGGCCGGAGCACCATCCTGTATGCCAAAAGGTCGTGGGTTCATTTCCCGGTTGGACTGAATACAGGAGGCAACCGATCCATGTTTCTCTCTCACATCAATGTGTCTATCTGTCTGTCTGTCTGTCTGTCTCTCTCTCTCATTTCCTCTCTCTCTAAAAGAATAAACATATCCTCAGGTGATGGTTTCTTAAAAAATAGCCCCTGGGCAGTGAAAAGAAAAAATATGAAAGTAAAAGAGTAGGATTATGCTTGAGTGGTTTTGTAAAAATACAGACAATGGGAATGTAAAAATATAGATAATGTTGGGGGATCTTATTTCCTCTTTTCCAAATGTCCCTTCAAGAGTGAATATCTTTATAACTCTTTAAAAATTCATTTATGCCCAACTAGGGAATGTCATTTCTACTTATGAATATTTCATAACCAATATTTGTTATGCACTAAGGAAATAATTTCCAAACAGTTAAATATAATTATAAGGAAGTTTCTGAAGTTTTAATCTAACTAGATTATTCCTAACTCCCAACTTAACCTGATGCTGTTTCATTTAGGAACAAGCAGACTACATGTTCAAGATCCTTCACTCTTCGAGTCTCCTTCACTCTTCCCCCCTCCTCGCTCTCAGCAAATGACCTTGTGTCTTTAAGAAAAAGTGAAATGCTGTGCCGTTACTACCTCTGCCAATCCGTCTGCACTTGAACCCGAACATGCTACAACGGACAATGAACCGTCCGTGCTCCTCTCGAAGGTCAAGCCCCTCTGTCCACCAGGCTTCATTCCCCTCCGCTCCTGCACCGCCCGTCCCCCCACATCAGGTCTTTCCGCCCACAGGAGCCTCCTCCTCAGGATACACATTCGCCATAATAATTCCCATCTTTAAAACAAAGGGTTCTTTGTGTTCAACCCCATCCTCACAGTCCCTTCTAGCTACGCCCCCAGTTCTCCGCCTGCTTTTATAGCTGAACTCCCCTGAGTTGTCTCCATTTGCACCCTCACTTCTTCCCAAACCATTCTCTCTTGAGCCCACCTTCAATCTGACGTTCACACTCACCCCTTTACTGAATCGGCTCTCATTAAAGCTACCCCAAAAAAACCACAAATGCTTTCCAAATCTAACAATTCTCAGCTTACAACAATTTGCTCAAATTTTCAGCAGCGTGTACCATAGCTGATTATCCTCTCCCTGTTGAAATGCTTCCTTCTCTCAGCATCCAGGGCACCCCTCTCCCTCCACCACATTGACCACCCCTCCTCAGTCTCCTTTGCTGAACGCTCCTTGTTTTTCCAATTCTAGACAGTGGCGCTTCCCTAAGTTCCCAGTCCCTAACATCCCTTTTTCCTCTGTCTGCGTTTACCTGCCAGATGACCTCATCAACTCTTGTAGCTTTCCGTCACCCACTCACCGACTGACTCCCAAACATGTATTCCAGTCCAGACCACAGTTCTGAACCGCAGACACACATCTCCAACTCTCCACCCAGCCTCTTCACATAGATCCCTAACACACAACACTCCCCACCCCTGCGCCTCCCAGTCTTCTCCATCCCAGGAAACGGCACCTCCGCCTTCCCAGCTGCTCCTGCAAAAACCCAAGAGACATCCCGGACTCCTCTGTTCCCGTCACTTTCTATGTCAAAACATTAAGAAATCCTCTCGGCCCTCCTTTCTAAGTACACCCTGACCTAAACCATTGTCATTTCTCACATACATCACAGAGGAGCCCCCCCCCCCAGCCCCGCCGGTTTCCGGCCTCTGTCCTGGCAGCCCCCACCCAACCCCACAGCGCACTCTCTGCACAACAGCCACAGGGCCCTTCCAAAACGTAAATCGGAAACACGCTGCCCTCGGCACTGGTGGGCCAATTTGGACCAATCCTACTACAGAAAACAAGACCTTGTTAACAGCAAAAAAACAAAACAAAACAAAAACCCTCTAAAATGCTAGAAAGGTGTAAGACAGTGATGAGCTACAAAGTAATTTTCCTTTCAAAACTGAAAAGAAAACAGAAACCCTTAGAGAACTGTGGGATCTCATCATAAGGTTGCTTGACAGTTTGGGCAAATCTGAACTTCGGTTTCAACGGCCTCACACAGAGAAGAGAACAGAATTGAGAGGTCAGAGTTCATGCAAGGTGCAGAGTCTCGTAGAAGGCCGTCCTCACGTGAGGTGGGAACCCAGTGGGTTACACACTCAGGGTAGAAATCAGGAGGACGAACCAGAAGCAAGCAGCCCCCCATGGACTCGCCGTCAGAAGCCACAACAACCGGATATCCCCGAAGAGCCTCGAGCGGTGGGTTTAGTGTAAAGCTCAGGTTCAAGTCTCAGAGCCCTCGCAGCAGCAGATGCAGCTTCTCTGCTCAGAAGAGCACCTGCATCCCAGGCTGCAAATTGTTTCTACAGAGACTTTTTCCAAACACGATGAATGGCACATACAGGAACAAAGTGTGGTGAGTAAGAACCAGCAAAACACAACAAACACCATAAATAGACAAGGCAGACTTTAAATATTATAATTATCAGACATGAACTATATGCTTAAAGAAACAAAATGTAAGTTTTATTTCTGCATATCTGAGAAGATATCTATGCAGATATCTATTTTCTGCGTATCTGAGAAGATACACAGAAAACAGGAAACCATAAACAGTGATATGGCAAATTAAGAAAGAACCAAACAGACCTCCTATAAATAAGTAAAAATATACACACATATATTAAAGTTCAAGTATTTACTGATGAAATATGATATCTGGACTGGCTTCAAAATAATCCAAGTTTGGGACGGGGAAAGGAAAAGGAACATGTACGGGGAAATAAGATGCGCTACACACTGAAATGGATAAAACATGAGCGGGGTACGTGAGTTCACTCTTCCCTTCTATTCACTGTTACATGTGTCTCGGACCTTCCACGACAGGACGTGGCACATGAGTGAAGTCCCACAGCAGCACGAGGCGCCTCCTCTGAGCACGTGCACACGCAGGTGACGCCAAGCGCACGGCCCCTCTTACCTCCCCGACCTCTCACCTCCACTCACCTGACTCCGCTCTGGACACAGGTAACACCCCAGCACGTGTCCGCCTCGGGCAGGGCCTTCGCAACTGTTGTCACCCCTGCCTAGCAGACCCTTCTTCCCGGTGTTCACAGGGCTAGCCCCCTCATTTCCTCGGAGACTTCCTAGTTCTCTGGTTCAGTTTCATGTCACTTGAAACCATGCACAAGCTCACTCGTTTGTTATCACTAGTTTGTTTACTACCTCCAACTAGAAATGTAAGCTTCTTGGAGAAATTCTGTTTTGCCTACTTTTCACTTCTAGCACCTAAAACAAGGACTGGCTCTGGTAAGTATTCAATTAACATATGTTAATGAATAACTAATGAAATTAATGAAAGAATATCTGAAGACAACCAAACACTCTAGAGTCTGCCTATCTCCAGAGTTTATGTAACTTACTTTGTATCCGTTTCTGATTTGTGCTTCATCTCCATGATCTCCACCATGAAGAGGTCAATAGGGTGCCCCGGTCTTCTAACAGCCAACACAGAGTCCACCACGGCCTGAAAGAGAAGTGAATGGGAACAGGGAATTATTCGGGCTACTGAAAAAAACCACTGGCCCAAGTGATCTACCACCAGACGAAGCAGATAAAGAGCCTCTTAGATGAAGCATCTAAGAGGCTCCAAAACACAGGGCCAGGCCAAAAAGGCAGGCCAGTTGGTCACTGGACACTAGTAATTACAGCCCATGGGCCTTCGGAGGTCTTTAGGTCCAAACCCTTTCTTTTACAGATAAGGAAACTAATACAGGACTTTAAGAAGTCACGGTCTTAAAACAAGGTCTAGACAGCAGTATCAGGACCAGACCTGGAACCCAGGCCTCTGGAACTGCCAGGCCACGGTTCTCGCCGCTGCAGCAGCACTGCCCGAACTCCTCCACCGAAGGACGCCTTGGGAGAAGAGAAGGAGACCTGACACGGGGGTACAGCTCACACTTGCTGCCTCCAACGATATGAAAGTTTAGTTTTGTGTTTATCATGAAAACCTTCCATGTCATACCATTATATATACATGTACGGTTTAACACAGAAATGCGTTTCCCCAGAAATTGTAAAGTGAAAACTGACACTCCAGAAAGATGTGCCTCACTTATTCTGCCAAATATCCCCAGGGATAAGCAATTTGAGAAGCATAACACAATATACTGTTACTTAGTTCAGAAAGCAATATAAAAATGACTACAGAAATTAAGTGTGATAGCACAACCATCCTAAAATATAAATAGAGCAAAAGAAAGGATCTTAAAAAAGTTTACTTAATGTAACAGAATATTTGGTTTTGGAGCCCAATGATGACAAAAACATTGGACACTGAGAGTCCCAGTGTTCGTGTCACTCGAAAAGAGAGTGAGGCTCTAACCAGAGCGTGAAGACTCTGAGCCACTTGATACATGTGTTCCCAAAGCAGAAAATGCAGCAGTCTTTATCAGACTCTGCTCCGTAAGAAACTGCCTGATTTTAAAACCTGATCTCCCAACTAGGTTTTCCTACAGGTAAGGAGAATTGCCCAGAAACAGCTCAGATGTCCAACCCACTTGGTGTTTACATTTCTCAGAGTAAAGGAGCATGACGGCACCCTAATTTATATGTCACTGTCTTGAGAATTTGGTTATGAACTCACCGCTCCTGATACATTGATACATTCAGGTTTCAGAAACCGCGAAGCCAGGCAGCAGTGATATCGCCAGACTACAGCTGCCTGATGAAGGCTTCCCAACATACCTGATCTCGTCCTTGTAGCACACACATTCCACGTGTAGAAGTAACAGCACCAACCGTGCACTGCCCAGCTGTGAGGGCTGAAAGGACCACCGCGCTGCGGCACTGAAGCGGCCCCCTAACCGCACAGCACACAGCCCACCCGGCTCCCTCACATGTCACCTCGCACGGTGCACACGGCCCTCAAGGCTAAAGAGACCAGCACATCACCCCCATGTGACACTTTTGTAAAAAACTGTACCTACTGTTCTGACAAATCAAATGTAGTCAGTAAGCAAGCCTAGAAACATGTGTTCATCTTACATATTTTACGATTTATTTTATGTTCCAAAGAACCACACGCAATAGTTGATTATCTTACAGGCAAAGAAATCTATGTCAGGCTATACTCTTTCTAAACACGTCAATTTAATCACAGACCTCTGTCAATACATCAGCCAGTTTGGCGTGAACTTTAGTTTGCAGAGATGTTCGAGCCACATCTAAGAGGAAGTCTCTTTTCATCTCTTTTTTCATTTTAATTTCTTCCAAAACTTCAAGTGCTTTTTTCTTTGCGGCTTCAAATCCTTCCGCTATTATTCTAGGGTGCAGGCCCTATTAAAACAACATAAAACTATAAATTATAAAGTAAAGTCACGCAAAGTAAAATAACCATCCTCTCCTATTAGTAGGTATGTCTAAAAAAAGTAGTATTACTCACATCAGTGCCACTAAACATAAGTGTATGTATATAATTTATAAAGCAATTTTTCATTGCTTCGCATTTAAAACAATCTCAAACTTACAGAAAAATTCTAAGTCCGGTATAAGAAAACGACGTAAGTTCTTTGTAATTCCGAAAACCATGACCCTGTTGTCCCGCGGTGCCCTTCGGAATGGGCGCAGAAGTCCTCTTATCCCAGAGGAAGAGAATCGCCACTGCCTTGGAGGAAACTGGCGACAGGCAGCACCTTCATTCAGTGCTCAAGGTTAGCATCACAGTAATGGGACAAACGGACACGTGCCTCCAGACACGATGCATCAGAGACACTACGGTGCTTACACGGCACCCCTGCTGAAAGTGTGTCACCTGAGTCTCCTCTGAGGAAACTAACAAATCTGACTGGAGGGACTTCCCACAAACTAACTGGCCTGTGCTCTAAAAATAACGCTGTCGCGGAACACGAACAACGGCCCAGCTTCAAGGAGACCAGAGACGTGAGGGCTGAATGCAATGCTTGAACCTGCATTTCCTTCTGCTGTAAAGGACACTATTGGGACGAATGATGAAATCGGAATAAAATCTGCATCAGTGTGTCAGTGTTAATATCAGTTTCCTGTTTTTGACCACTATACTGAATTATATAAGAGAATTCCCTGGTTTTAAGAAATATACACTGAAATATTTAGATTGTCGTATCTCTAACTTACTCTTTTTTTTAAAGATTTATTTATTGCCCTGACTGGTGTGGCTCAGTGGACTGAGTGCTGGCCTGTGAATCAAAGGGTCACCGGTTTGATTCCCAGTCAGGGCACGTGCCTGGGTTGCAGAGCCAGGCCCCGGGTGGAGGGGGGGGCATGTGAGAGGCAACCACACACTGATGCTTCTCTCCCTCTTTTCCTCTCTCCCTTCCCCCCTCTCTACTAATAAATAAGTAAAATCTTTTAAGATTTTATTTTTTTATGAGAGAGAGAGAGCATGCAACTGATTTGTTGTTCCACTTCTTATTAATATATTCACTGGATGATTTCTGTATGTACCCTGACTAGGGATTGAACCCTCAACCTTGGCATGTTGATTTAACAACTGAACTACCCAGTCAGGGCCTCTGCAACTTATTTTTATACCATTCATTAAAAAAATGTACATTACAACAAGTATAAACACACATATATACATTTATTTATCTGAGAAAAATATTATTCTTTGGAATATTCCTGTAACTTTTCTATAGGTCGGACATTATAACAAAATATTTTTTTGAAAAACAGAATTGTTTATTCTGAAAAGCAATGCACAAAATTATTGAAGCTGAAACTAGGTCTAACTTATTACCTCCACTCCTTTACATTAGTCTTGTAACAATTCCTGAAAGTTGACATTTACTGAGCGTTTGTGCCAGGCACTATTCTGAAGAGCTTTACGTGTATTATTTATGTTAGTCCTCTCAGCACAGTGAAGTGGGAGTTGCCATTATTATGCCCGTTTCACAGATGAGGAAGTTGAGGCTTACAGGGATAATGTAATTTGCCTGGAATCAGCGGGCAGTTAAGAAGAGGAGCCAGGATTTAAACCCACAGGCCCGACTTCAGAGCCTGTGGTGACCATTGTCAAACACTCCCCTCACTCAGCAGTACGTTCATACGAACAGTGCTCTCCCTGGTTGGTGTGCTCAGTGCGTTCCGTGAGCTGGCTCCCGCCTACTCTTCGGGCCTACTCACCGCTGTCCACATCACCTTAAACCCCACCGACACCAAACGTCCAGTATCTGTACACACAGCGTGTGGCCCCTCTTCTCTCTGCCCCTGCTCACGTTGCTCCTTCCTCCTGGAATGCCATTCTCCTCGCCCCTCGCTCCTTCATCTGGCTCACTCCTTCTCATCCGAAAGCTTGAGCCCAGGCCTTCTTTCCTCCAGAAAGTGCTTCCCGACTCCGTCAGGCTAGGTTAGGGCCCCCCTCCCTCAGTGTCCAGGTGACACCCCACGTCTGGCTCTGCTGCTCCGCTGCCACACAGTTTCACAGGTACGTCAACGTCTGCCGGCACCTCCCCTTCCCGAGCTTCTCTCTTCCTAGCCCAGCCCGAATCTGTTTAGGTCTGCCTCTCCCTCCAGTGCTCGAGAGGAAGCCGACCCGATCCCTAACTCGGGGTGGGGAGCGGGCCCCCCATTAGATTAAGTCAGTTCCCCTAAAGACTGTGACTGGTCTGGGATGACACAAGACCAACGCCGGCCCAATCACATGAAGTGAGACCTTGCGCTCCGCAGCGGGGTGAACGGCACCCCCCTCCCTCTCCCACTGAGTGTCACTAAGGGCAGAAGGCGGTCCTGACTTCCTCAGACAGCCTTACAGTCTGGGTGAAAGTGAGCCTTCTGATGAAACAGCAGGATAAGTAGGAGAGCCAAAAGACAGAGGGGCCCTGCGTACTTGGTAACCAACTGAATTTTTGAATCAACTGGCCCTGGAAGCTGCCTTATCACTCTACACTCTGCCAAGGCAGATAATTTCTTTATTGTTTAAGTGACTTTTAGTCAAGTTTTTACTGCTAACAGGCAAAAGCATCCTTACTGAACTAAGCCGCAGGTACTAAATTAATAGACAATTCCCAATACTACATGAAACACAAAGAAGTAATCATTTTAACATTTTGACCAGGCTGTGCTTTGTGAAATGCTCCTTGAAAGAGAAGACAATTCAAATCCTTGGAGAAGACAGATAAGTAAGGCCAAGGAAAGAATGCAGACAAAGGCAAAGAGGTAGAAATACCCGTAATGATTCCAGAGGCTAGAGAATGGAGGAGTCTGGCTACAGCAGACAGTCTATAAGGGAAATAAAACTAGAAAGGCAGGTAAATTCACAAGGTGGGAAGCCTTCGGCAATTTTTCTCCAAAAGCAAAGCCCTCAGTAAATGGTGTCGGGAAAACTGGAAAGCCACAGGCAAAAGAAAAACTAGATTGCTATTTGACACCACGCAGAAAAGTTAACTCAAAATGGATTAAACACTTAAATATAAGATTTGAAACAGTAAAACATATAGAAGAAAACATAAGCACTAAACTTACAGACCTTGGACTCAGAGAGGCTTTTTTGAACCTGACCCCGAAGGCAAGGGAAGTAAAGGCAAAAATAAATAAACAGAACTACATCAAACTAAAAAGCTTCCGCTCAGGAAAAGAAATTCCCACCAAGACAAAAAGGCAAGCAACCGAATGGGAGAAGACGTCTGCAAACAGACCTCCGATATGGGGCAAGCAAAACATATAAAATATATTTTATTTTATATTAGCAAATATAAAATACATTTTGGGGCTTTGCCCAAAATATATAAAGAACTCACACAACTCAACAACAAAACAACAAACAATCCAACTAAAAATGGGCAAAGGACCTGTACATTTTCCCCAAGAACACATAAAAACGGCCAAGAGATACACAAAAAGATGCTCAGCGCTGCCAGCTGTAAGGAAAATGCAAATCAAAACCACGGTGAGATGTCACCTCACACCTGCCAGAACGGCTGTGATTAACGAGACAGGAAGTGACGTGTGTTAGAAAGACGTGGAGGAAAAGATGTGGTGAGAATGGAAACTGGTCCAGACACTGGAAAACAATATGGAGGCCCCTCCAACAATTAAGAATAGATTTCCATCTGACCCAGCAATCCCCCTCCTGGGTGTCAACCCAGAACATTTGAAAACATGCATTCTTAAAGATACAGGTGGTCCTACGTTTACTGCAGCATTACTCACAGCAGCCCAGACTTGAACATGACCCCGAGGCGGCTGGATAAAGGTGTGGCAGATACAAACCATGAACACTGCTCCGCCATAAGAAAGGATGAACTACTGCCATTTGCAGCACCATGGTGGACCTTGAGAGCACCTCACCAAGCAAAACAAGCCAGTGGAAAAGGACAAGGACCGTATGATTCCACTCATATGCAGGATATAAAACAGGAAGCAACAAACAAACAAAGCAAAACAAGAACTCTCACAGACGTAGACAACGGTATGGTGACCACCAGAGGCGAAGGGGGTGGGGAGAGTGTGGAGAGGGCGGAGGGGGGTCAAATACCTGGTGCCAGGAGACTGGGCTTGGGGCGGGGGGCACGCAGTGCAACAGGCAGGTGATGGATTACAGAAGTGCATGCCCGAAACGTACAATTCACCTCAGTGAGCTCAATTTTAAAAACAGTAAGTTTTTCCCAGTTATTTTTTAAAACCATAATTTGGCTTCAACTTTCTCAGTGATGTTTTCTTTCTTAGGCCATTAGTCATGGGTACATGGCTCATTTTTTACCTTTTTAAATATCTTAAATTTTTCATTTTAAAAAAAAGTATATAATTCCAAATAAAAGATACTAGTTTGGCTAAAACAGTTCATTATTATTTTCATTTATAATGTCAAAAATATTTTCATATTAACCTTTGCCCTCCAAAACTAAACCATTTTACTAGTGTAAAAAAAGTTAACTTTCCATGCAAAATAAAGCACCATATAAATGCGAATTCTAAGAAATCCTAGTACCTCAGAGATGTACAGATCGGCCTGCTTCAGCAGCTCCCCGATGAGCAAGACGTTGGAAGTGGTGCCGTCTCCCGTGACATCGTCCTGGGCCGTGGCCGCTTTCGCGATCAGCGAAGCTGTTGGGTGTTGGATTTGCTGGATAAAGCAAGCAACCAATTTAAAAAGACAGAAGAAAATGCAGAAATAGTCCACCAAAAACAAGATAACCTAAATGCAACAGTAAAATTAAGAAATTGAAGAAGCTTCATTCTACAAGCTCACAGGTTTTGTATCCTCAACACTTAATAAATGTCAAGACCAAAAGTTAACAGCTGAGAACTAATGAGATCTGAACATTCTATAAAAGTCTTTGCTCAAGAATGCAATGACATTTCCGAAATTAGATTAAATCCTTCAGTCTTGAAGAGGAATATATTTACTAAAATTGCAAAGGGCTTTTTTACTTTTCCACGATTATGAAGAACATAACACAGTGTCTTTAAAAGATGCAACTAATTTGGAAGTATCCCTAAGCTATTATTTGAAGTACACAAAGATTTGAAAACAGCCAACAAACATTTTTTGACATGTAAGCCTGCAAGGATATCTCATGGTTGCAGGAGTTAGCTGACAGCCTTGGTTTACAGATACACAAATGATTATTATGTTCTCAGTTAAGCTGTAGTGAGGTTCATAGAAGTCAGCGGCATCAGCTCACCATCTCGTGAAGCAGCACATTGCCATCTTTGGTGAGTTTGATGTCACCTGCACCAGAAACAAGCCTGTTCAGAAAACAGAGATGTTATTAACCTCGCACGGCAAGAGCCGAGCAGGACACGCCCCAGGGTTGCCCCTCAGTTCTCCTTCACACACACACTGGGCCTAGAAAATGTCCACCGAACCCCGGGAGGCCCTGCACGCAGCAACACCCTCTGCAGCCCACGGAACCACTCTTCCCAGATGACTGCTACAGCGATCTCATTCCAGGTGGAGCATTTACACGTTTAAGAATGAGAGTCCTTGGCCAGTGATGACAGTGGTTTGCTCGAGAAGAATATCTAGAAGTCTACAAGCCACAGGTTGGTGGAATTTCCTGCAGGTTTTTCACTTTGATGAAATGTCACCATTCATTCACTCAATTTAGCTTTTCTTCATCCCTCATATTTAGTAGATCATCAAATTCTGTCAACTCGATGACCTAAAGGCCTCTTCAAACCACTGTCTCCTCTCCAACTCCACCACAATCACTGCCATCTGCAATCTGGACTGTTTAGCACCCACATAGCTCTGAATTGGAATCCACCCTTTGTTTATCTTTCTAAAAGATGGAATGCTTCAGTCAGTTTCCCGATCAAAAATCCTTCAATGGTTTTCATGTTCTCCACCATTTTCAAGGCTAAACCCAAACTATTTAGCAATGACAGAGCTGACCTTTCCCAATGAGCTTACATCTATTTTAAATGTCCCATCTACCAAATGAAATCTTGTGATTCCCTTAATACATAATGTTTGTTTTTATTTGTTAGATTTACACCAAATGGCTTTCTTGTTCTTGAAACCACTCTATCTTACAAGACCTTATTCACTTCTTCAACTAGTGAACTCTAACTCAACTTTCAAGACTATGATCAATAATCAAATGTTATTTGAGTCTTTTCCTTCTCCCATCAATAATTAGTCCCTTACCTCAGTACAATGTTATAAGTATAATGCAAGCCACATACTTTAAAACACATACTACATGTTATATAGTACATACACGTACAACACATTCATTTCTACCAAAACCGAACTTTTATCTTGCTCGTCTCTGCGTACTCTGTACCCGTTAGTACCTAATAAGCACCTGTTTTACTGTTAATGTATTCCGCTCATTCCTGAGACTGGATCCCTCCTCTCACACCTTTTTGCCCTCACTAGTCTCTTTTCCTCACTCTCTCCTAAGGGAAAGAATGGCGCTACATAAATACATGCTGAAAGACTTGGACAGGAAAAACCTTGGGCACACAGCGCCCAAGTAACTTGCTAAGGACTGACAGCTGGAGTGGAAGCTTGGATCCGAGCCCACGCCGGCCAGGCCTCAAAGCCCGTGCCCTCTCTGCTGCACCGCACCCCAAAACGAAGCTGAATCGAAGGGCATATGGGCAGACAGTCTTAAAGGGCAGGGGAGTTAGCTGTTTTCCGTTTCATGAGAAACACTATATGAACTTTATAACTGCACATAAGCCTTAACGAAAAGTTGGTCGAGTGGGTGGGTGGGGTGGGTGGGTCCTTTTCCTTGGGAAGGCTTCTCTCCTCCTCCTCCACCCGGCTACAGATGACTGCAGGGCAGAGGTGAAAATGAGGGAAATCGCCCATAAGAGTGTTCACAGGGCTCTTGGCGGAACGTTTGCCAGTCCCGACCCGACCAACCGCCTGCGCCCTAACCGTCGCCTCACATTTTAATGGTGCCCTTGGGACCCAAGTTGGTCCGCAGCACGTCCTGCAGCCCTCGGGCGGCGCAAATATTTACTGCCAAGGCTGCCTGAGCCCGCGCCACCTCAGCCTTGGCGTTTACCGCCTTGATCGCAGCCATCGTAGGACAGTTGAACAGCCACCTGACCGGCAAAAACAACCCCGGCCGCCACTCCGAGATAGAACCCGGCGCCAACGTTCACGTTCTGCAGCCTCAGCCAATCCTCGCCCGGAGAGGAAGTGACGCTATCAGGCGTCGCCGCGCCGGAAGCTAGGAACGCCTCTGGGCGGTCGCGAAGATGGCGTCGTCCGCCCCGGCTCGGCCTGCGGCCGGGAAGCGGGTAGTGAGTCAGGACGAGCTGCGGCGGCTGATGAAGGAGAAGCAGCGCCTGAGCTCCAACAGGAAACGCGTAGAGTCTCCATTCGCCAAGTACAACCGTTTGGGGCAGCTGAGCTGTGCCCTGTGCAACACCCCGGTGAAGAGCGAGCTCCTGTGGCAGACTCACGTCCTGGGAAAGCTGCACCGAGAGAAAGTGGCCGAGCTGAAAGGCGCGAAGGAGGCGAGCCAGGGGCCGTCCGCCAGCGCGGCGCCTCAGCCCGCCAAGAGGAAGGCGCCCGAGGCAGAGAGCCAGGAGACTAAAAGGGCGAAGTCCTCGCAGGTGGCCCAGGCGCAGCCCTCCACGTCCTCCTTGCTCACCAACGCTGACCACGCAGGAAAGGAGCCCGCCAGAACGACCCTCGGTAAGACATCGGGACTTGGTTTACTCCCTGATTATGAAGATGAGGAGGAGGAGGAGGAGGCAGGAGGAGGACAAGAGGGGGACACCAGCAAGCAGCCGCCTGACGTGCAGGGCAAGGAACACTCACTTTCCTCCTCGCGCGAGGCAACAAGTAGTATGCTCCCGAGCGACTTCTCCAATACAAATCCCCCCAAGGCTCCTCTAGTTCCGCACTCAGGGTCCATTGAGAAAGCAGAAATACATGAAAAAGTGGTGGAAAGGAAAGAGAACACTGCAGAAGCATTACCAGAAGGCTTTTTTGACGACCCTGAGATCGATGCGAGGGTACGAAAGGTTGACGCCCCAAAGGACCAGATGGACAAAGAGTGGGACGAGTTTCAGAAAGCCATGCGGCAGGTCAACACCATTTCCGAAGCCATAGTCGCCGAGGAGGACGAGGAGGGACGGCTGGACCGGCAGATTGGGGAGATCGACGAGCAGATCGAGTGCTACCGTCGGGTGGAGAAGCTGCGGAATCGCCAGGACGAATTAAAAAGTAAGCTCAAAGAGGTCCTGGCCATCAAAGAACTGCAGAAAAAGGAAGAGGAGAACGTCGACAGCGACGATGAGGGAGAACTACAGGATTTGCTGTCTCAGGATTGGAGGGTGAAAGGGGCCTTGTTATAGGTTTGCAAGGACTCGGTGTTTCCGACACCCTCGCGATTATATGAAAAGTGCGCTCTCCCCCTATGACGTCGGTTACTCCATACCTGGACCAGGTTGTTGTGGTACAAATGTGAGCCTGTGAAAATAGCACTTTGGAAAATTGGTTTAAAGTATTTTTGAGGTAAAGTTGTTTAAGAATTTTTTAAATATTAAAATGCCAACTTTTTCATATATTTATGGATTGAAATATATAATTTGGGGTTGGAAAAATCTAAGTTGTAAATATTGTACATAAATACATATTCACTTAGTAATTCTTTTTTTTTTTTTTTTTTTTTGAAATTTACAAACCAATAGAAGTAAGACCAACTGACAGGCTTTTGAGATGAATACCAACTGTATTGGGATACATACGCCTTTTTCTTTTCTGACCCCCGATCAAACTCGAGGGTGGGGGAGCTTTGGGTGTTTGTTTTCAAGAATACTACTCATAGTTTCATAAGTCATTCAGAGTTAATCAGTCTTCTGTTTCTTTCAAAAACACGCAGTAGGAGAACATAGTGAAAAACATGCCACATGTGACCAGCCTCCTTCTCCCAAAGTGTCTCTTGATTAAACCAGAGATTCTTGGATGTAGGTGCACATGAAGATCACCCACAAAGCTTTTTTAAAAATGTACAGGAATCAACTCTGAAGCTTTTTAAAAAATTAAGGTGCCCAAGCCCTAACCAATTCAGTAAATCTGGAGTGGGAGCCAGGTATCTGAATTAATCTCAAAAGCTCCCCAGTTTATTCTAATCACACCAAAGTTGGAGAGCCACTGCCCAAAATCCAGAACCCATTCATATTTTTCCAAGCTTTTTTTATTTTGTGAATAACACATTCCATAGGTCACTGTTATTGTATAAAAGAAACACTACCTTTTATTTACCTTAAATTTTATGGCTAATTAGGGTTCCCGGTTTACTGGTTTGTCTATTGTAGGAAGAATACACAGTAAGTCCTCACTTCAGGTCATTGATAGGTTCTTGGAAGTGCAGCGAAATCACTTATCTTGAAATTGGTGTACCATAGGAAATTGACATCAATGAGTTAAATTCCTGTGGCATTTTCCCAAAACAAACAACAACTTCAAGGACATGTCATTTTCTTGAGTAACAATTGGCTTGTGCTTTTGTTTATTTAAATCATTACTCCTCTCTCTGGAGACAGGTATTCAAATAGGAAAAAGGAATTAGCAGTGCTCCCGAGATAGAAATGCACACAGCACAGTCCAGAAGTGAGCGGTAATCATAATAACCAGGACATGTACAGTTCTTACAGTGTAGGTGAGGCAAGATTCTAAGTGATTTGTATTGACTCGGTCTAGTTTCCCTAAGGCTTAGGTTTCTATGGAGGAAAGTACCAAGAGATTAGGTTTGAAAAAGCCTTGAACGCTAGATGGAAAATCCTCCTGCAGACAATGTGGAAAAAGAAGTTTTTGAGCAAAAAAAAATTGTTATCTGCTACAAGAAAATTATAGAAGACAACTTTAGTTGCAGTGTATACTATACTATTATATATAGTATGGGCTACTATATAGTCAGGCTATAGAATGGAATGAACGTGGGGGGAAAGGAAGCTGGCAGGCCACTTGGAAACTAGATTTTAAAAACAGGGTAACCAAGACTTTGATTAGGGATGAATTGAGAGAAAGAACTTCACAGGAAAAACCAGTCACATTTTAGTGACTAGAAGTGGAAGAGAAGCAGGAGGTAAAGATAGAATTGAAGGGTTTAGTGTGGGTGCCTACAAGAAATCATCTCATACTGAGAATGCTATCTTTCCTTCTGCAAAATGTCTTTGCTTTCTTGTGCTGTCAGCTGATTGGTGAGGGCAGCTTCGGTCCTGTAACACAGTGGGCACGCCTGCCTGAACTGTACAGAAGAAACCACACTCGAGAGTTTTCCATCATTCATTGTTTTATTATTTCAGTAGATGAAAAAGTACAACGATGAGCTTGAATGGTAGGCTCAGTTCTGTGTTGGGTTAAGAGGCCAGGCTAATGATCCAGAGGAGCACTGTCCATTTAAAAGCGCACTGCAAGCCGCATACAGGTTTTAAAACTTAATGGTAACCACACGAAGAGTAAAGAGAAATGTGAAATTATTTCTAACAAATTTATTCCATTATATCCAAAATATTGTTTCAATATGTAACCAATATGTAGATATTAGTGAAATATTTTCCATGTGGGGGGGGGGGGCTCTGCATTTTTTAAACCTGTATCTAACAGCACCTCAGTTGAGACTGGCCACGTTTCTAGTTCTCACTAGCCGCTTGTGACTAGTGGCTACTGTTATTAGTGCAGATTTAAAGAGAAAGGTACACAAGAGGAAAAATAAAGCAGGCTTGGAAGGCAGTGGGCAGAACAATAACTGGAACACTGTTCATCCCTGACAACGGGGCAGGTGGGGGGGTGTCCTGGAAAAACAGCTTACGGACCATGTGGAGGGCCCTGACTGCCAAGCCCTAAAGGGTTGGAACTTCCTCAACAATGGCGTAGCCTTGAGGTTGTTGAGTCCTCACGTGTAACACAGTTAAAGAAGAGATTAAGTACTGCCACGTAGGTTACTGCACATGTAAACCCCACTGAGTTTTTAGGAAGTCCAAAAAGCTCTCAAAACCTGCTCCCAGCCCTGACTGGCATGCCTCAGTGGGTTGGACGTTGTCCTGCAAATCAAAAGGTTACAGGTCTGATTCCCTTCCCCATTGGGGGTGTGCAAGAAGCAACCAACTGATGTTTCTCACCCTCTCCCTCCCCTCTCTCTAAAAATAAATGAAATCTTAAAAAAAAAAAAAAAATCTCCCAATGCTCTGTATCACAGAGTATGAGCGATGGGGCCCGGACCAAATCAGGTGAGTCCTTGCCAGGTCAGACACCTGAATAAGCAGCATCAGGAGTTGGGGGTCCTCCCTGCCCGCCACAGGTTGGAGAGCCCTGTACCTCTGAGCTGGCCAAACAGGTTTCGGCATCGGACTGAAAGCCAACAACATTCCCAAGTGCTAAGAATTAGGCCCAAGGGTTTCTCCAGTCTCTTGCTCTCTTTTTAGAAAACCCCGTAATTCAGACAACAATCTACTAAAATTATTGTGAATGCTACAAAGGTAATCCTCTCACCCCTTGCCAACTTCATACACTTCCTCTAACTGGGAGAAGAAAAACTCCGACTTCCTAATTAGCCCTCAAATGCACCTTTGTGCGGTGCCTTACAACCTATAAGATGCTATCACATGTATTTCATTTAATGATGGGAGTGAGGACTACTTTTTACAAGGAACAAAATGTGACTGGAACTAAAATTGCAGGAAAAAGAATACAATTTAGACCTAAAACCTTTAATAGTAACCACCACTAGATTAGTATGGAGTAATGAAAAGAACAAGGAAACTGGCAAGAGAAAAGAGGACACAGGTTCAAGTTCCCACTCTCCTTTTATTTCCAATGGCCAGCCATCCCTGGGCAAGTCACCTCTCTGAGCTTTAGTTTGCTGTACTGTGAAACGATTGAAACTGTGAAGTATTTAGTACAAATACTTACCTCAGGGCGTGGTGAGTCAAAGGACACGTGAAAAGGGGTTAAAAAATTAAAGTGTGGCGCCCTGGCCAGGTGCCTCGGTTGGAGCTTCATCCTGTACGCCAAAAGGCTGCAGGTCCCGTTCCTGGTCAGGGCACATGCCAAGGCTGCAGGTTTGATCCCAATCAGGGTGAGTTCTCTCTCTCCCTCCTCCCTCTCTCTTTCAAATCAATAAACACATCCTCAGGTGAGGACTTAAAAAGCAATCAAACCGTTCTTCATGGCATCACACAGCAAAGCGGTTTGGCCGCATGTCAGCAGGAGCTAGTGGGTGGGCCTGATCGCCCAGAGGCATCTTAAAGGGAGAAAAGGAGGAATTAAAGTGAGTCGGTGGATCGGAGTCAGCAGGTGCGCATGGCCTCCTGGCTGCTCTCAGTCCTCGGTCCCCCATTCTGCCATCGCCATTCCACTTGGCTCATTCTGCCTGTCACTTGGCAGTCAGAGCTATTCAGTGTGTCTGCTCCAGCCATCCTTCACTGGAAGCACTCCCGAGCCTCAGAGGAGGCAGCGGTTCCATCTGGCTGCACCTCCATCTCCTAACAGCACTTGGCAGGCTGCGTGCGCACCAGGGAGCCAGCAGTCACCTCTAGGGGAGTTTGCAGGGCCGCACTGACTGGGTGGTTACTGTTGTGTGTGTGTGTGTGTGCGTGTGTGTGTGTGCGCGCGCACGCGCGCGCGGTACCTGTTTGCCAGTCTGTAGAGCATGGCTGTGAGTACCAACTAAGCTGGGCTGTTGGGTTATTAATGATGGTTGCCATTGACTGGATTCCGACACGTGTCTAGCAGAATGCCAAGGCCTGACATGCACGTCTCATCCTCAGAGCAACCCTGGAGAGTACAGCCCCATTGTCCAGATGAGGGAGCCTGCTCAGGGCAACGGTCCCAAAGTCCCTCCCATCACCCTTCATCATCATCATCATCATCATCATGACTTAACATTACCTTGTACTGTCAAGTCTCCCCACCCCCAGGTGAGTGAAACAATTATCACCTCCATTTTGGACATCTTGTTCAAGGTCACTCTGCAAGTTCATTGCTAAAGTAGTAATAAGATGTAACTTGATTCCCAGTCCAATATTCTAAAATGTGGAAAATGGGAGAGGATCCCTCAAAACAGCAAGAATTAAGATTAGAGACGTTCACTGTCAAGTTTAAGGGTGCTGCTGTTCAGAGACGTCGGCTGGGTTGGAAAGCTGTGTTTCTTGAAGTTTATCAGACTCTCCACACTGTCTTGCTTTCCCCTTTTCGACAACCAATTTAACTCCTTAGTTGTCTCCGATGGAAGCAAGACCAATTCCCAGACATTCCAACTGGGAAACGCCCATTACACTGAGCCCTGTGGTCCACCACGTAGTTACGTGACCCTGGATAAAAGCTCCTTCACCCCTCGTTCCCCAGCCACGAAACAGGAAGAGCAATCGTTTCTACTGGGATGACTGAGAGGACTCAATGAGTTATATGCAAGTGAGTCCTTTTAGTACAAATACTCAGATAACACTAGTTGAAGAAATGAATAAGCTACGGCCCTACCTTCCAGAAAACTACAGTCTGGCGGCGTGTAAACAGTGCAAAAAATGGGACAGGACTGTATTTACTACGAGACAGAGCTGATCCTGT